AAAAATGCCATTGTTCATTAAGTCCAAACAATGGTGGTCGAATTCTAACAACTGATCAACAATGCGAACTTTCCATATATTCCCTTCCTGGTCTCCCGCCGTTCTCTAGCTTGTTGTGCATTCTTTCCAAAAATCGGGACTTTTTTAAAACGCCGCAGGACACGGGACAAATTGTTAAAAATCGGGGCTGTCCCGCCAAAAGTGGGACGTCTGGTCACCTTAGAAAACCTCACTGAGAGTTCTAAATAATTGAAGATCTAAGAGAAGCCAATCTTCCTAGCGATTCTTAGGGTTTTAAAGTGAATTAATAAGGCAAGTTGTATGTAACTTGTTTCCTGTTACTGCTTTCTTCTCTCTCTCCTCTCTCTCTTTTTTCTTTCCCCCAAGACATTCTTCTACACATCTTTAGTAACTGGTTATCTACTTTTTTATAATTAGGCAAAAAGTTCAAGGAGAGTTTATGGACATTATCTAACTTTAGTATCTGTTTTCAGAAGTGAGTTATGTGTGACTGTAGAGTTCAGATCGCTTCTGCATTTGTTGAAACTCTTATAAGATCAACACAAAAGAACATCGATTGATTGCGAGCAAAGTCAGTGAAAACAGAGCCAACTCAAAGCTCAGATAACCCTAAGCGATAGACCCTAAATACCCAATTGAGGGCTGTGGGATAGCCGAGGCGCTAAAATGGGAATCCGAAGCCATTCCCAGTATTTGCTCTTAGGCCAACTGAAGAGAAGACAACTAGGGGAAGAGAAGAAAAGTTGAAAAAGTGGTGGAGTAGCCAGATAAGGTGAGAGCCCTGTATTGAAACTTGGTTACTCTGTTTTGTTCTTTGTTGTTTAAGGCATGTGTTTTTCAAGACTATATTTTGAATCTACTTAAAATGATTTAAATTCTAGATACAGTTTCAGAGGATGATTGTTGTGACATGTTCTCAAATTTACTTTCTTCAAATTTTACTGTCATCCAAGTCTAGAGCTGAGATTTCAAACACTTTCAGGAACTAATGGTATGAGGAAATAAGACAAAAGTAGGAGGAAAAGTTAATTGACATTTGTACACTTTGTTTGCACTTTACTTTGAATTATCCAACAAAGTGCTCTTTTGAAAGATTATTTCTTAGTAACCAAACAACAACAACAAAAGCAACTAAGAATAAAACAAACAAACAAAAAAAACACTCATTGCCACCAAGCTGATTCCAACTCCCAATGTAACTCAGAGTAGAAATGCACCATAGGATTTCTGAGGTGTCTGTAGAAGTGATGAGCACATCTTTCTCCCACAGAGCAGCTAGTAGGTTTGATCTGCTGACCTTTTGGCAGCCAGGTGCTTAATCACTGTGCCACCTTGGCTCCTTATATATTTGTGAATTATTAGCACCTGCTGAATCACAAATACGCCATTTATTTTGCTTTCAGTTTCACAGCAAAGACACAAAGATGGGTTTATCATGGTATAAAATAACTTTGAAAAGGGACAAAATTATTTCCTTTGTACCTTTATATAAATGAAGGTGTATGAAAGATTTTATGTGGCCCATAATAAGGGAACCAGGAAGTTCTATAAGAGATTTGAAGGATGACTAATAAAATAGTAAAAATTTATATTTTGTAAAGGACTATTGAAACAATTGTGCAAATTGAGACAAAATAGCCACTTACATAGTTGGAGAGGAGGTCTATTGAACTGCTACAGGACAGAATATAATTAGAATGTTCATACAAAAAAAAGACTGCTATTGAATTGATTTTGACTCATAGATGTCCAATATCAAGTTTCTGAGGTTGTAAATCTTTACAGGAGCAGATAGCCTCATCTGTCTCCCTCAGAGCGGCTGGTGGATTTGAACCACTAACCTTGCAGTTAACAGTCCAACATTTACCTGTCAATGCCACCAAGGCATTGTTATCAGTTGCCTACAATTTACAGAGTTATAAAATGGTTTGGGAAGACTCATGAATGCATGCACTTTGTTACATTAAATATAATCTTAATTATTTTATTACTCTGAAGCTTCAGTGTCTTTCCAAACATCTACAATATTTCCCCAGTTTTATTTTATCTTCCACTTTTTTAATTAGTTGAAATATTTTAAGGTAATTATCAATTATCCTATTATTTATCTGGTAGATACTTCAATATCAGTTAAGCAACTTTCTTTTTTTTACATTACCACAAGACCATGTTTCTACCTAGCAATATTAACAATGCACTAATATATAATACCCAGTCTATATTCAAATTCTCTTAATTGCCTCAAAATGATCTCTTTTAAATTGGCGTGTTCAAATGGTTAGTTGCTGTTGAGTTATGTGTAACAGAATGAAACATTGTCTGCTCCTGCCTCATTTTCAAAATGGAGCTCATTGTTGCCGCTATTGTGTCAATTGGTCTCATGGCAGATTTTAAGGAAGCCTCTACTTTGTCAGCAAAATGATGTCCTCTTCTAACTGCTCTCTCCTGACGACGTGACCCAAAGAAGCTGGTTGAAGTTCAGCAATCCTGGCTTTGAAGGAACATGCTGGCTGTCTTTCTTCTAAAAGGAATTTGTTCCTTCTTTGGGCAGTTCACGGTATACTCAATTGTGGCCAACCGCAGTTGAAACTCATCAGTTCTTCTGTCTCCCTTTTATATTGTCCGGCTTTCATACGCATAGGAGGTGATCGAAAAGTCCATGGCTTAGTCATCAAAGTACCGCCTTTTCTTTGTCAAACCTTAAAGAAAAGCCTTTTGCCATTGATTTGCCCAATAAAAATGGCCACTGTGTCACTGGATCCACTCAGCAGGGAATGGAATACGTGGGGAAAGAGAGATTATTTTATTCTCTTGAAAACTGAGATCTTCTGCAATGGAGACTGTTTGGGTGGACATTTATCTACCTTTCCAGCCCAAATCCTTGATGCTCTTGGCGTTCATAGTCACAACGTATGGTCAGCTCAAGAGGGATATTCACTCTCTGGGGACACCAGAATCAATTGGTATAAAGTCCACAAAGACAGTGTTCTACATCCTACTTTGGTGAGTAGCAACTAAGGTCGTAAAAGTTTGTGAGCGGCCACCTAACATACAGTGATCGGCCTCTCCCTACCTGGAGGAAACAAGAATTAAAAGAAACAAGTCGTCCAATCAGCTTTCACAACCCTGAGAACAGAACTACTTGGTCCCTGGCTAACACAACCGGCATCTCTGAAAGAGATCACATTGGTAAATCGAGAGAGAGTGGGAGAAAAAAATGTGGAATAAAAGTAAAAATCCTAAAAAGATCTGACTTACCGGTCAAATAGAGGCTGATGAAACCTCTGAAAGAGTATGGCTCTTAGTTATCCTTCAAGTCTGAAAATGAGCTAACCTCCCTGGTTCAATTTTCAGCCAAACAATCGATAGATCTATAAGGCAAACAATAGCACTAGGTAGGTGTGAACACCTTAGAATAATTGACCACTTAAGACCAAAAGGTCAACATTTAACTAAAGACAAAATTCATCAAGTTAGGAAAGAAAGAGGAAATGGAAAAGGTAGGAAGGAAGTGGAATATAGAATGTTACCTTGTAGCGACTTTTGTCAGTGACATGTTGGAAAATGTGTGTGTATTGCTGTGATCTAAAACTGATCACTCTGTAAACCTTCACCCATTTCACAAAAAACTTTTTTGAAAAGCAAACTATATTCACATATTTACCCACCAATCAGGTCTCTAACTATTCTCTTGCACTAGTCTTTGCAAGTACCTTATTGAAATAATTCATCAGCCACTGTCCACAAATCGGAGTAGATTTGTGTTATAGGATTCTCCTCCTGCAACACGAAGAAAGCAGCAAGAGGCATCACCTGAAGCTCTGCCCACTGGGATGATTTCCCATCGCCACTCTTTTCTCAGGAAAACCCTGACTGATGCTGTTATGGTGTGTTACCCACAAGCAGCCGGTGCCAGCGCAGTTGCACATTTGCTCATAAACTGGGCCTCATGGGCTTGAGGTAGTTGTTGAATCCAAAATCTGCAGTGCAGGTGGAATTTTTCTGGCTCATGTCCCAAGCACCAGATATTTCAGTTTGATGAGTTGGATGTAGATAGGGAGAGTGAGAGGGAAGTGAGCACGCAATGGAGCACTTTGCCACGATATCCTTATAGAGGGCATGCAGGTCACATCCCTAAGGAAACTCCCCTGCCAACTGCTTACTTCACATCACAACATGGAGGAGGAGTACATAATACACTGAGAATGATTGACATATAATATTAATCGTCATAGATTCCTAATCTTCTTGGGCCTGACTCATGTAAAGTGTTCCCATTTAACACCAGAAAGTTGAGGCACATCTCAGATTGTATAGTTCCTTGGTGGCCCACGACCATGAATCTACTTTCTACTCAGGCCCAAGAGCAAACAAGGAGCTGCCTTCAAATAAAGAAAAGTGATGAGCAGGATAGGGTATTACCTAACCATACAATCTTGGAAATATGGATTTGTGTCTGCTGTAGACCTTTTCAACACCTTTGGATGGGTCACAGAGACGTGGTGAGGCAGGCTGACCTACCAAAGAGCCTTTCCTATTTCTAGCGCCATTCCACACTGACAGCCTATCTCTCTCACTGCCCTCTGGGGAATTCTGACTCAGAGTGACACTAAAGGACAGGGTAGAACTGCCCCTGTGGGTTTCTGAGATTGTAACCGGTTGTTGTCATAGAAAACCTCATCTTTCTCTTGCAGAGCAACTGGTGAATTCAATCTGCTGATCTTGCAGTAAGCAGCCTAATGCATAAGCACTACTATATCAGGGCTTCTAGATTCACATATAGTGCTTCTTAAACCACAAACCAAACCCCAGAGTTTGATTTACTAAGTATTAAATAGGGTCCTAGAGAAACTGTACTTACCCTAGTCATCCTGAAGCTCTTATAGGACCCTATTTGATAATGACTGCTTTAGGGAGACTTAGGGATAGCTGATCATGTTTAGTGATGCCTTCTCATGATTGTAAATTTCCCTACAGTAAGGACAAGAATGAATAAAGAAATAACTGTGCTCAGCATAAAGTAGGGTACCTACACACGTGGAATACTACTCAGCAGTAAAAAGAAATGAAGTACTGATGCATGTGACAACGTATAACCCACTATCGCACCAGGGCTCCTAGAGTGGCACTAACGAGATCAAAGCAGCATATTTACCTATGGAATGTTGCCTCCAAAATCTGAAGACACCAGTCTGAGGGGATGCTTCTTTCTTTGTAATGGAAAGTACAAGGGGAAGCAACGTAGCTCTTACTTTAGAGGGGCTCTCCTAACACGTTGCTGTTAGGTGCCATCGAGTGGGTTCCAAATCATAGCGACCCTACGGACCAGAGAACAGAGCACCGCACAGTCTGGAGCTATCCTGACAATTGCTGCTATGTTTGAACCTGTTGTTGCAGTCAGTGTGTCAATCCATCTTGTCAAGGGCCTTCCCATTTCTCGCTGCCCCTCGACTTTACCAAGCATGATGTCCTTCTCCAGGGACTGGTCTCTTTTGACGACATGTCCAAAGTAAGGGAGACAAAATCTCACCATCCTTGCCTCTAAGGAGCACTCTGGATATACTTCTTCCAATACAGACTTACTTGTTCTTTTGGCAGTCCAAGGTACCTTCCACGTTCTTCACCAGCACCACAATCAGAAAGCCTCAATTCTTTCGTTTTCCTTAGTCAGTGTCTGTTATTTACATGCATATGAGGTCATTGAAATATCATGCATTGTGTGAGGGGCATCTTTATCCTCAAACTAATCTCCTTGTATGTATGTGTGTGTGTATAATTTTATTGGGGGCTCTTATAGCTCTTATAACATTTCATACATCAGTTGTATCAAACGTCTTTGTACGTATGTTACCATCATCATTTTCTAAACAATTTAAAGAGGTCTTGTGCAGCAGACTTACCCAATGTAATGCATCAATGGATGTAAAGCCTCATTGACTCTTTTGACCACTGCTTCCATGAGCATTGGTTGTGGACCCAAGCAAGAGGAAATATTTTATTTCCTCTTCAATCTTTTCTCCTTTTATCATGGTGTTACCTATGTGGCATAGTGTTGCACCCTGAGCTGCAATCCACAAGATCTGCAGTTCAGAACCACCAGTTGCTTTGCCAGAGAAAGACGAGGCTTTCCACTCCCATTATGAGTTACAGTTTTGGAAACTCATGGGGCAGTTTTACCCTGTCCTATGGGGTTGTTATGAGTCAGCATTGACTCAATGGTAGTGATAATTTGATATTGATGCAGTTGTGAGAATTTTGTTTTTTTCTACTTTGAGTTGCAATACTTGATCTTCATCAGCAAGTGCTTCAAGCCCTCCTCACTTTCAGCAAGCAAAGCTGTGTCATCTACATATTGCAAGTTGTTAATAAGCCTTCTTCCCACCTTGATGACTCATTCTTCTTCATATATTCCAGCTTCCATAGTTATTTGCTAAACATACAGATTTAAACTATGTGCCCCCCCCAAAAAAAATGTTGAAGTTCTAACCCATGACATCTGTGAAGAGGCCCATGATAGTTAGTGTTGTTTGACAATTTGACTGAGTCATGATCTCAGTGGCTTTGAAGTTAGAATGAGATCACCTTCTACAATGGGGACTGATAATAATGCAATCACCTCTGTGATGTGATACACTCTGAGCAGGCGATCAAATGAAACAGAGTTCCTAGAGAATGTGGCCTGTTCTCAATCTATTCATGGCCATTCTGACCAAACTCTCTTGTTTTTTGCTGGATCTTGATCAGATTCACAATCATCATCTGACCTCAGTTCTTTGGACCCCATCCAGCAGCCTGTCTTATTGTCTTTGGATTCATTAGCCTCTAAGGCAGCGGTTCTCAACCTGTGGGTCGCAACCCCTTTGGGGGTCAAACAACCCTTTCATAGGCGTCGCCTGATTCATAACAGTAGCAAAATCACAGTGATGAAGTAGCAACAAAAATAATTTTATGGTTCGGGGTGGGGGTCACCACAACATGAAGAAGGTTGAGAACCACTGCTCTTAGGCATGTTATCTGCCAACAGTGGAGTCATTTGTCTCGCCAACCAGCAGCATGCCATCTGACCTGCCAATCTTGGGTTTGTTAACCACTGCTGCTGTGAGAGTCAGGTGAAGCCTAACACCTGATCCAGTCTCTACAACCGCGTGAATCATTTCCTTGAGATAAATAAATGTGTGTGTTTCAAAAAATGTGTGGGAAAACTCCATTATCTCTTCATTCATTGTTTTTCCACAAAGTTTTAAAGCCATATAGACATCTGTAAATATAGATACATATAAGCCAGCCGAAGAAAATGTCATCTTTTAAGATGTCAGTTAGTTTAGGATGGGGATACATTGAAGTAATCCCATCTGAATGGTGTCCTTTTAAAAAAAAGAGAGAAGAGATACAGAGAGACAAAGAAGGTCATGTGCAGATGTGTCTGTAAGGAAAGGAATTCCTGGGGTTCCCAGAAGCTGGGAGGAACAAGAAAAGATCATCCCCTGGCGACTGTCCAGAGAGTATGGCCTGGCCAATTCATTGCTTTTTACTTCAGTTGATAAGAAAATCGATTTCTGTTTTGAAAAGGCACCCCATTTGTGGTACTTTATTATGGCAGCCCTTGGGAACTAAGACGTAACTCTTGACTAGAAGCCTTATCAATATGGCAGCCCTGAACTAATGTGGGGTTTCTCCTTGGTCCTCTGCAGTCTTGTATTAAAGTACCTCTTTATTGGCTATACACTGTTCGACAGATCCAATAACATAAAATTATGTGACAGGACTGTCTTCTGATTATTTTTCACTTTCCCCTCTAGGGATGTCCTCCACATTTCTCCACCAGCCTGTGTTCCAGCTGATTTTATCAGACTCCTCTAGGCGCTCTCTTACCTCCTAGTTTCCAGTTTTGTTTGGCAGCGGCTCACACTGGTAAGAGACACGAGCAGTTTGAGCCTGTCTGTAAGGTTGCAGCAGGTGAAACACACCCATCGATGAAGCGCTAATAACTCCCTTCAAGCAACACCCCCTTTTCACAGCACCCGCAACTATCGGTAGCACAACCCCAGGTTTGCCCCTACAAATCCAAGGGTGGCCATGGGATGGTGCCTCTCATCCCTGTGTTGCTGTAAAAAATGCCTTCATTATTTCCAGAGGAAAGTTAACTCAGGGGTGGCCCCACTTATGTGAGAGCTGAACTGTGTTCCATCGTTTGTTCAGCCTCTGCTTTTTCAGAACTAATGTAAGACCATTCTTAGAGGCCTCTTGTTGGGCTCCAACTTCCAACCTTACAGTGCTGAGTCAAGCACCTTAGCCATTTGGATCACCTGTGTGCCAATTTCCTGGCCTCCCCATAATTTGAGTACATCATCTCTCTCCAGTCCCAACACTGCTTGACTAACTAGTCTTCCCTGAACTACATTATGTAAAGACAAAAACCAAACAAACAAAAAACCCACAAGAGATTGCAGTCCTGAGATAAAAATCACAGTCCTTGATCACATGAAGGCAAAATGCCTCTGATTCTGTTTACTGATGGAAATTGAACAGCTTCTTCCAAGTTAGTCAAAAACAACAACAAACAGTTGCTACAAAGTTGCTTTTGGCTCATGACCACCTCGGTCTTACAAAACAGAACTGCACGGTATAGGGTTTTCAAAGCTGCGCACTTTGTGGAAATAGATCGCCAGGCCTTTCTTCTGAGGTGGTTCAAACTACCAACCTTTTGCTTGTAGCCAAGCGCATAGGCATTTGCAGTCCAGGGCAGTGAAGTATTTATTTCTTCCAGTCAACACACCACATATAAAGCTTCAACTATAATTGGTATCACCTATTGATTAAATTTGCAATAATTCACAGTCACATACCCATCTTTTAGAATCAAACATAATTTTCAATATCCCAAATACCAAGGTAAGGTAATCTTACCTCACTGCAAAGCTGATGTAGGATGAGTTCTTTTATGAAGGATTTTAACAAATGTTGAGCCTTGATGGCACAAGGGATGATTCTGGTGGGAAAAAAATAGGACTGAATGATTCCAAATTAAAGAGGGATATGAAGGAACTGGTTTCTGGATGAGAAGATGTTTTGGAATATAGTAACCAAATATTTTAATGAATCTGAGGTAAAAGTATCTTACAATATCTGTTAAGAAAATAAAAGCTCCATCAATACATACAGTGCTAACGGACAACAGATTACGAATATCTCTTGATGTCAGCAATGTAAGACTGAAAAAGAACGTGTCTTTCACTCACTGAAATACATTGTATTCATTTAAGTGATATATAAAATGATGTAATTTATAATCAATTACATCTTAGGTTTGCTAACTACCTTAATCACCTTTCAACTTTGGATTCTGGTCATGTCTTTGAACTTCAATTATGACTCTAACTTCTGCATGTCAGCATCCATATCACTTATTTAAGAGGCACATCAAGTCCCGAGAGTTTGAATTGGATAATTCTTCCTTTGAAGATGTGCTTGGGGGTCGCTGAAGGGTTTATATTTTGTCTGCTGATTTTTAGGTAAGAACTAAACAAGTTTTGAAAACTCTTATGACTTCTGATCCAGAAATGGGTTCTATTATCAGTTTTGCTACTTAGCAAATAATAATCTAGAAAAATATTTCCCAAACTTGTTCAATCATTAGAATAATAATCTTGGGTTTTACAAAGACAGAGACTACCAGCCCTACCCCAGACCTACTAAATAGAGTCTCCAGAGAAGGAGTCTAGATATCTAGATTTATAACAAGTTCTCCTAGGGGTGGACTCTCATGACAAGGCAAGTTTTAGAAATGCTACTAAAGGTAATCCAGTTATCTGACATTCATCTTCATGAGAAAGAATATAGCAAAGAACTGTTCAAAATAGAATTGCTCAATAAATTTCACTTCAAAAATAAATAAAATTCACCATTCATGTATCCCATTTAGCCTTGATGTATGACTTCATATCCTCTATGGGTAATTTTAACTCTGTTATGCTGAAATATACCCTTGGTAGAGATAAAATTATTATAAAAATTAATGTCATGTCTATGCCTCAACATAATATTGAGTGGCCCAAGTTTTGCTAATCCAGACACATCAATATGTTTTATGAGTCACTAGTTATATGAGAATTAGAGATTCTTGGTTGTTGCAATTTGGGTCACCTTAAATCCTATCAGCAAAGAAACTTTTTTTTTTCCTAGTTCTTTTTTTTTTTTTAATCATTTTATTAGGGGCTCATACAACTCTTATCACAATCCATACACACATCAATTGTGTAAAGCGCATTTGTACATTCATTGCCCTCATCATTCTCAAAACATTTCCTCTCCACTTAAGCCCCCGGCATTAGGTCCTCATTTCCCCCCTCCCTCCCCACTCCCCCCTCCCTCATGAGCCCTTGATAGTTTATAAATTGGTATTTTGTCATATCTTGCCCTGTCCGACGTCTCCCTTCACCCACTTTTCTGTTGTCCGTCCCCCAGAGAGGAGGTCACATATAGTTCCTTGTAATCGGTTCCCTCTTTCCTACCCACTCTCCCTCTACCCTCCCTGTTTCGCCACTCACACCACTGGTCCTGTAGGGCTCATCCGCCCTGGATTCCCTGTGTTTTCAGTTCCTATCTGTACCAGTGTACCTCCTCTGGTCTAGCCAGACTTGCAAGGTCGAATTTGAGTCATGGTAATGGGAGCGGGGAGGAAACATTTAGGAACTAGAGGAAAGTTGTATTTTTCATCGTTGGGGAGGAAACATTTAGGAACTAGAGGAAAGTTTTATTTTTCATCATTGTTATATCACACCCTGACTGGCTCATCTCCTCCCTGAAACCCCTCTGCGAGGGGATCTCCAGTGGCTTACTAATGGGCTTTGGGTGTCCACTCCGCACTACCCCCATCATTCACTATGGTAAGATTATTTTGTTCTGATGATGCCTTATACCTGATCCCTTCGACACCTCGTGGTTGCATAGGCTGGTGTGCTTCTTCCATGCAGCAAAGAAACTTGTAATTAAATGTTTACATGGAAAAAATACAACTCTTTTAGGAGCACAGGCTCAGAACTTTGATCAACGTGGGTCCATTTCCTAGTTAAGTCATCATTTTCAAGTGCAAATTGTGATCATCACAAATACTTTTAAGATGTTTATTATGGAAAACCTAAACTTCAATCAATATTCTCTTCAAGATGTCATGTGTGCTGCATATCAGCACCGTTGGAATGTGGGTAGGCAACACTGTGTAGCTTAGTGCCCATTGAGTGCTGAATTGAGGACTGGTCTCTTATACACACTCATATGTACTTACTATGTGCCAGGAATAAAACAGAATACTGTGTATTCTATGTGCATCACAGATGATGTCTATTTTAAGAGAAATCAGTTCAACATCCTCCAACAGCATTAATGGATTTTACAAATACGTATAAGGAGCCCTTTTGTGTGCTACGCAAGGTGAAAAGCCATATGGAATGATATCTTATCATCTCCAACTTAAAACATTTCATTTCCAAACTTAATTGAGAGCAAATCATTTTTTCCATCCTCTTTAACTAAAAAGGGAAGGGATTGAACTAGATACTTTCTTAGGTATAAACTTTCTGAGTCTATGACCTTAAAATTTGCTCTCTCCCCATAACGTCTCAAATGAATATATTTATATGGCTTATAACATATTCTTTAGAAAATGTAAAATGTATTTGCTTCCCTGAAAGACTTCTATATAATAGAAAAGTCCAGTAAGTATTCTCCACCGGCAGAATGACAGCAGCAATAGCTCTTGTAATACACGTATTACTTCACATCAGATTAAGGACACGAAAATGCCAGCTTGTCTTGTTCCATAGATCAATTTTAATGCACAATTCTCCTATTATGTGGGATAACATACAAGTTGTCTGATAGGATATTTTAGATAGGAATAAGAATGTCATATGCAAAGTTGTTAGAACAAGTGTGGCAATGAGACCTCTGTGCTCTGTTTATTCAATGATGCCCTTTAGTACACGACCCAGTGTTGTAAACATCAAAAGACCAACTCAGCCTTGGGTTAGTTAGCCTTGCCCTTTGAGCTAGTGCTGGAGACAGTTATGCAAAATAACTTTTGTGCTATTTTTAAAAAAACCACAGACACTGTTCAGTAAATCCTAACTCAATGGAATTTTATTACATCATAGAATTTCTTTATAAGTTTTTTTTGGCTGTCATCTTAATGGACACAAATTGTTAGGCCTTTCCTTCGGATGTACCACCAGTTGAGCAAAAACTGTTTTTGCCACCACCTAGGGACCCTTTTTGCCCAGTTACACCTACTGTCATACAGTCAGTTCCGATTCATAAAGACCCCATACAGATTTTCTGACACTAAATCTTTATAGAAGTAGATAACATCATTATCTTCCTGAGGAGTGGCTGGTGGCTTTGAAGCACTCATCAGATGGCTACTTGTCCAGCACTTCAATGGATACTGCCACCCGGGCTCCTTTTTGTCCTCTTTCGTGGTTCTCCACCTTCCTCATGCCCCGACCCTCTCATGCAGTTCCTCATGTGGTGGTGACCCTCAACCCCAAAATGATTTTCGTTGCTACTTCATAACTGTCATTTGCTATTGTTTTGAATCGGGTGACCCCTGTGAAAGGGTTGTTTGACCCCCAAAGGGGTCGCGGCCCACAAATTGAGAACATCTGTATTAGATGCAAATAATACCTCCCAACAGGAGTTTCCTTTATACCAAATTGGCTTTTTCATGATATAAATATTTCCAAACTGCATGTCTACAAACTCCATATTCTAGCACATTTAAGAAGTTTGCACAGCCTATAATCAATGGCACCGAACAATGAAGAACTGTTTTGAAAACATCAGATTTTAATTGGCTAAAAACAATACACCTAATCACATGATTGCTGACGAGAGCCTGATGAGGGGTTGGTCACAGCTGGTGGGGTGTAAATGGGCACAGCCTTCCCAGATTGCTTGGCATTCTGTATGCCAACATCCTAAGGAAATGGCATGGGAGTCAGATCTGATTTCCTCTGGCTTCAGGCTTCTATCGGGAGGTGGCGACTTCTACTCCGCCTTAGAGCAAGGCTGATTACCAGAAGGCAGAGATCTGGTGTGCCTTATTCTCCACCTTCCTTCTTTACCTGTTCCGACACCAACCAGGCCTCCGACACAACTCTACGCCCCTGCTGAGTTTGTTTCCTAATTTATTGTAATTTATTGTAATGACCATGCGGAATTTATAATCTTCATGATTGTGGGATTTATCAGGGAAGCTAATAGGTTAAAAAAAATAGCAAGGATACACTTCTTTTGTCCACAATGCCTCTTCTCAGCCATGCTGCTTGGCATGTTTCTCTTGTCCTCTGACTTTCATAGTTCCTTGGCCTTTGCCTTCATGAACCAGGAAGTCCTCCTGCTGCTCTACTTCATGTTCTCAGCTCTGCTCCTCTGCTCCGGCTCATGGGCTTGATGCTGCAGCTTCTGGTGCTTCTGTGCCTCTTCAGTAAGGCTATTGCCTGTGCTCCACCGGTGACTCTTCTTTCTTGACGGTCACAGGATATTCTCTCACTGCTTCCGAAATGCTTCTCGGACACCCAGAAGAACGGCAGCACTGACCACTCCCTTCTTCTATTCGTCGTTCCCAAACCTATTTTAATGCTCCCACCCAAACCTTTGATGGGAGATCTGGATAGAAGTGCCATTCCAAGTAATTCCCATCCACCATGGGTCCTTAAAAGGAAATGTGTGAAATTTGACCCAGTTATTTATTTGAAGGGAAAAAAAAAAGTCAAGAATGCAAAGGTCCACAAGCAACAATGTTCCTTACAGGATTGGTGAACTCAATATTTCTCATTAAAATTTTTAAAAAATTAAAAGCCAAGGAAACTTCCAGCAAGGTGGTGGCCTAGGCAGACAGGCTATCCACCTGAACAACAACAGCAGCAAAATAGGAGAGACCAAATGAAGCAAATACTGATGATAATCCTGGAACCCTTAAGCATCAGCAGGAAGGACAGAGACGTATGTCAGATATGTAAAAAGGTAAGAAGCTCCAGAAACGCAGCAAGCAGAAACAAAATGGAATGGTGAGTTGTTAACTGGCCTAACATAGCACAGCCATTTTGATTTTTTGCAAGTAGCATGCCAATGAGAACAGTGACCTAATATTCAGCTCCCCTTGCCTAGGACCACACTGGTGCCCACTCTGACTGGTGATCAGAAAGGTCATATTCTACTTGTTCCCCACATCTATCCAGTATCTAGGAATGTGACCAACCCCGACCCTCACCCACCTGGATGACATTCAAATACACACTAAGCCTGGGCTCCTCCTGATATTGGAGGCAAACTCTTGTGATTCAGGTGCCGGGGGCTGCTCCCCATGCTTTTGGAGGCACATGTCTGCCTCCTCAGGGTTGCATAATGCACAGTGCTGGCCGGGTGCCCTGACACTAGCCTACCCCTGAACTAGCAGGAACTCTTTCCTGGGCTAGGCACCTTGACCCTAGCTGCGCTCGGAATTGAAAATCTGGATCTGCGACCAGGGATCCCGCTTCTACTGTCTATCTCAACCAGGAGAAACCCTTTTCAGGACCAAGTGCCCTGTCCCAAGGTGCTTTTCAGGCCAGAATGAACCCTATTCTGGACTGCCCACCCTCCCTTTCCCCACACACAGGACCGCCTTGGTCAGCAGAGCACACTAACCTTACTAGGCGCCCTGCACCCAACTGCCTTCTCAGCCAGCAGGAACATCAGTTGAGTGGCCTGCCTCCTCTATTTTATCCTTTTTCTTTTTAAAAATTCTTTCCCTTGCTTTTCTTTTTCTGCCTCTCTTTTTCCCTTTTCTTTCTTTGCTTTTGTATTTCTAACCATTATTCCTTCCCCCTCATTTTGTTTTTGCATTTAAAATATTTTCCCCTTTATTTCCATTTTTTAATATCTGTACTTTTTTGTTGTCGCTGGTTTTCTTTTTCTCCCATTCTTAATCTTTCAAAATTTATTATTATTTTTAGGTATTTGTTTGTTTGTTTCAATCTATCCCATTGGAAGCCAGCAACCTTATCCATGCTCTCCAGCCACACCTCCACCTCCTGCAGCCATCCCCACTGGGCAAGGGTCACCACCTGCTCTGACGCCACAGGATCAGTGACAGACGGGGCCAACACCAGGGCCACTTGCCCACAGCTGTTCTCCAGGGAAAGCAAGCAGGAAACTATGAGCCCACTTACAATCATCTATCCCAACTTCCAAAATTAGGTGGTAAGCAGTTATATCAGGGCTGTGGCCTGAGTGAGGAAGTTGCTTCTGCCCTAATCGTCCCACAACTGATTGATTGCTCACAGCAAACCCCACATGGAGTTGATCACCTTGTGTGAGATCACGTCATGGGGAAATGCGAAGCCTTACCTGCCAAGCCACAGATTCTGGCCCATCAAATTGGCAGACAACCTTAACCATCACAGAGGTCCTGGGTAGAATGAGAGGAAAAGTGTGGAACAAAATTCAAAAGACTGAGCTTACTGGCCAAATAGAAACGACTGGAACATGGGCAACACCTGATCTTTGGTCCCTTCAGGTCTGGAACTGAACTCACTGTTATGCTTAATTTGTAGCCAAATAACCCAAACAACTGCTACTGAGGGAATTCTAACTTTGAGGGGCCCCACATTGGCTTTCGGAGATGATAAATACATGTAGGAGCAGATAGCTTCATATTTCTCCATCAAAATACCCAGTGGATTCTAAAGGCTGACCGAATGGCCCAATGCCTAATGCCTACCACACAGCACCATCAGAGCTCCTACCCAAATGAACAGACACTTCCAGCAGGTAAATAATAACACTTTGGAGAGATGGATTCCTTAGGAGAATTGGCCCTTTGAGATCAAAAGGGCAAATGTCCAAGAATAAAGTTCAGAAGGCAGAAAGGTTTAAGAATGGAGGAGGAATGGAAACAGGAAAAATAGGAAAGAAATAGTAAAAGTGGTATTACTTGGGGGAATTTAAATCAATGACATGAAACAAAGTACGTATGAACTTTGGAACAGAAAACTGATTTGCTTTGTAAAACTTCATGTCACTAAAATCTAAAAGTTCAAAGTGAAACAAAAATACTTAAAGCCCAAAGCCTGACATGGGATTTCCCTAATTGAATATAACTAGTGTTTTCCCTCCGATGGAACTGTATTGCCCCTGAGACGGGTGGTTCCCTGGTCGTGGAGACTGCGCAGAGTTCACGACCTCTGTGTGGCAGGTTCTCAGAGTGGAGGCAACAATGGCTGAGCAGTAGAAATGGCAGGGAGGGCAGCTTCCACTTGACCTGGGTGGACACATGACACATACTTTGGGCCTCTAGGAACTATTCATCTGGTGGAGAGTGGCTTTTTCAAGGATTGAATGATGCAGGCATAGGGCCAATTTTGCATCTCCACCACCATCAGTTAGTCTGCTGTACTGTGGTGACTTGTGACTGTAGCTTGCTATACTGTTGATGCTGGGAGTTATGCCCCTGGCATGTCAAGTACCAGCTGAGTCAACCATGGTGGATGCGGTTCAGCCGAGCTTTCAGACTAAGAAGTAAGGCCTGGTGATCTACTTTCAAACATTAACTAGTGAAAACCTTATGAATCACAACAGAGCATTCTCTTATATAGCGCTGGAGGACAATCCTCACTAAACCACCACAGTGGACTTCAATATAACAACGCGACACAGTCATCATCAGGCGGAGGTGACTTAACAGCAGCTAATAACAATTTCTAGGTGCAAGCAGGGCAGTTCTAGAGATATTGGAATTGCATGTATGTTCCTAGCTTTGAAGGGCACAATTGGTAATCATAGGCTTACTATTTCTTGATTCAACTCTCTCTTTTATTCCGTAAATATAACAAACCCCTATTCACTGGCATTGAATTTAATGCCATTGAATTCACGGCCATCAATTAATTCCAAGTGATAGCAATCCTGTGGGACAAGGTAGACCTGCTCCTCTAGACTTTTTAAAATAGACTGTGAAAATAGACTGCCTTCATCCCCTGGAGGGGCTGGTGAATTTGAACTGCCAACCATGTGGTGAGCAGCCAACATTTAGCCCATCACACCACCAGGGCTCCTTTATCAAGCACCTACGGCTTGTGGATGTGCAAAACTATTCTAGTCTCTAGGGCAGGCATCCTCAAACTCGGCCCGCGGGCCACAAGCAGCCACCAAGGACATTTATCCGGCTCACTGGGTGTTTTTGCCCTGTTTGGTTTTTTTACTTCAAAATCAGATATGTGCAGTGTGCATAGGAATTTGTTCATAGTGTTTTTATAAACTATAGTCCGGCCCTCCAACAGGTCTGAGGGACAGTGAACTGGCCCCCTGTTTTAAAAGTTTGAGGATCCTTGCTCTAGGGTCACAGATGGGGGCCCTGGTCATGTAGTCTTATATGTTGGACTGTGATCTGCATGGTCAGCAGTTTGAACCCCCCAGAAGCTCTGTTGGAGAACAGAGCTCCTGTAAAGAGTTACAGTCTCGGAAACCCGCCGGGGTCACTATGAGTCAGTATCAACTTGATTGCAATGATTGTCACACATATTGGGGTCTGTCTTTGTATATTTAGAATGTAAATCTAAATCTCTCCTTTTTCAGTTGTGAAGTTTTTGCTATATATAGTTTACACTACTCATCTTTTGAGATTTTGAATTGTTTTTTGTTTTTGTTGACTGCCAGGTCGTTGATTCTGACTCATGGTGACCCCGTGTGTACAGACAGAACTGTTTCTGTTGGAAGCCGATTGGCAGGCCTATCTCTCAAGACACATGTGAGTATATTTGAATGCCAACCTTTTGGCTAGTAGTCAAGTGTTTAGCTGTTGGTGCCACCAGGGGCTTCTTAGGAAAAATTAAGCTTATCGAAGCAGCAATCATTTGAAAGAATTCAAATTATTGACCAATATTATCTTTAAAAAATAGAATTTAATATTATTTGCTCAGTTTTGGAATACAAATTTTACTCTTCTACGCACAGCGTGTGTGGAAAATAGGATACAGTATATGCCCCAAATCAAAGATTTTGTTTGGATTTTTTATTATCCCAAGATTTGTTATCAGCATGATAAATGATGCTTATGTTTCATTTCAGGATAAGAATTGTGTAGGCAGCCAAACACACTTAGACATATATAACTCAGTATGTTTCTCTGTATGCCTTAACTTCCCAAAACTGAGAGTCATATTTTGTGCTCAATTTAGAAATTTGCTCATTTACATGTTTATATTTGTTAGACAATCATAACTTGTTTTTTTAACTTTGAAGGGCAGAAATGTATTCTCCTACAATGAGATGAGGCTAGGCAGTCAAGTGCATGTGGTGGCTTTTTCTTTACCCAATGTCAGCTCCAGGAAGGTCTTTGGCCCACTTCAGCATCTGTTCCTTGGCAGTCTTCATGTGGTGTGGCATCTTTCTTCCCCCATCTGTGCTTCCTGGTCTCTCTGCCTAAGCCCTCCTTTTTCACCTTGAGAGTCAGTGATTTTGGACACATCCTACACTGATATGGTCTGTGGTAGATACATAATCTGGTGTCAGTTTGGGACTTGAGAGGATTAAGAGTGAAGGGGTGGAGTCTAGTCTGTCAATTGGGTCATTGCCAATGAGGCCTCTGTGTGGGCATGGCCTTCTCCTGAGGATTCTGGGAACTCCTGTATTTCTTCCTTGGAGGAGGGAGATACCCTCTCTCTTACTCACGCCCTTAGAAACTCTCTACTGACAAAGTTGACTCCCTGCGTGACATTTCTGAGGAGAAGTTACATGAAGCTACCCTGAGGCAGTCAGAGTTTCAGAGCTGAAGGAATCATGTGGGAACCCCTGCCAGTGCTGAGATGCCTATAATGCCACTGGATCCACAAGACTTCCCACCCACTAGCCTAT